TGTGTGTGTGTGTGTATTGTGCAGATTGATTTATTATTTGTTTACATGATGAGAAGTTTTGTTTTATGATTGCAGGAGCAAAGCAATCTAGCTTGCAAAAACAGATTTCTTCGAGGGTTCAAAGGCCCCAGAAAGTTTCTACTCAAATAAGTATAGCTGTAGATTCTAATGAACCCTGGACTATGCTTGCACACAAGAAGCCACAAAAGGAGTGGATTCCTTATAATCCCAGAACAATGAGGCCTCCTTCTCTTGATGAGGATACAAACTTTATTAAGCTCATATCCTGGAATGTTAATGGCTTGAGGGCTTTGCTCAAGCTGAAGAGTTTCCCTGCGCTTCAACTTGCCCAACACGAAAATTTTGATGTCTTGTGCTTGCAAGAAACTAAATTACAAGCAAGTGATTATAGATTATTTTTTTCCTCATTAAGGAAACTAAAGTTTGTCCTTTTAGAACCACAAAAACCCATCTGGAACTGAGATAATTTCTACAACAAATCTTCTCATTTCAGTTGTCTAATAGCTGAGTAGTTACGTTTTAACATGAATAGGAGAAGGATGTGGATTTGATCACGAAGAATCTGATTGATGGCTATGATAACAGCTATTGGACCTGTAGTGTTTCAAAGCTGGGTTATTCTGGAACTGCTATTGTATCAAAGGTATTGTTAAATCCCTTTGCCTTTCTTTGCTCAACCTCAGTATTGAGTTGAATCAAATTTCTTAGTTCCCTTTCAACATCCTATCTCGCTTAATGGTCCTTTTCTTTTCTTACTATGGTTCTTTGGCATTCCTTCGAAGAAGATGACTGATAATTATAGGTTTTATCATGAAGGATTAAAGACAGGCTTTACCTATGGATTTATGATAGGTTTGAAATGGCACATGATATGGATACAAGTTGACACAAAAATAAAGATGATTTTTCACTTAAATTAGGGCAAACACGTATGTTATTTCACGGATATCAAATCAAAGCAATAAAACACGAATATATAAATGATTAACACTTAAAATTCGAGAGATATGCAATCTCTTCCAATTACTACAATTCAAGAGATATCCCTCAAACCCTATCCCTAAGATTCCAAGACGACAATTCTCATGTATAACCCTAACTCTAACCTATTAAGCCCTATTATACCCAACACTAATAATAATAAAAGGTTTATTTGACTTTAGGCTAATAAAAGACAAAATTACCCTTAGGTTGGTGCGCAACAATACCCCTCCCAAAAAGTCTCCTCAAGATATAAAAAATTGACGGTGTTCCTCCTTCTCTATGGAAATCATCTTTGTTTCTTCATCCCCTACCTACTAATCACATGCTGTGAGAACCTGTAATGTTTGATTCTTACAACGGTGTTCCAGGGAAAACTTCTCATCGCACAGAAAATGTAACCACTGGCTTGCCTGTTCTAAATCTGTGTCTCTATAAGACACTTGAAGTTGACCCCTAGACAAACCCCCAATATTCTTCTCTTTCGGCATCTCTCCCTGAAATGACATCATCTAGGTCTTCGCTGTCATGGCCGTTGAGGCAATCTTGTGGAATTCTTCCATGGTGCTACTTTTGTTGGACTTCTCTATGTGGTTATTGTCCTCCACCATATGGGTTAGCTCTATCGTCTCTTTCAATTCCCGCGGTCTCCATAGTCGGAGTGTTGCCCATATGTCGGGCTTTAGGCTCTTCACCAAATTTCTCTCCAATCATATTTCAGAAATCTCCCCCCAGTTGTCCCAACGGTAGCTCG